CTACGACGACTAAGTATGTTGATGGGTAATAAGGTTCGGGGGGAGGGATAATTACTATCTGCACGTACTTTTATTAGAAAAACAAGAACCAAGGGACATGTAATCACCAATTATTGGAGGACAATGACTGAACACCTGTACGACGTGTCCTCTACGAACCTGGGAGTGAGACGTTCTCCCAGAGACCTAGTCCAGTCAAATTTCACAATACAGAACAAGTTAGCCCACGAGGCAATGACTCAATACTCCTACCTAAGTCAGTCTTTCACTGTTAACGAGATGGATTTTCACCAAAGCTTCATATATTCGTAAAATAATACCTAGCACAATCTGATCTCATTGATTACACTTCACATCAACCCGCCCTCTGGCCTTAAACAACCTTCACATGCACGATCACAAGAATGTAAATACCCGCCGGAAATAAAATTTGGTGCAGAAATCTGTGAGGGAAATTTTTGGGATGGGCGTGAGAGAGATCTGGACAAGTGGACAAGATGACGCTAACGATAGATACAATCTCGAAAAGGGTGAAATTTAGAAGGAGTTTTACAAATTGAGATTTCTGTGCCATACGACGTCGACTGTGAGAGTGCAGGCTACACTGTGAACATTGCTGCAGTTGGATAGTGTGGTGGAACATCATCTTGGTCGGTCTGCCAAGTAGAGTCTGGATAGCTTGGATACTTATCCCACTTCGGACAGAAGATCGCTGGTTCGAATCTGGTAAAACAAAGCCATGTTTCTCGCGACACTAGTATGCATGGATGATATAGGCATGCCTGGATAATCAAAGGATTTGAATTCCCTTTGGTGTGTGCTTACGGAGCAGGGTCGACTGTTTGTGAAAGCAAGCATGCCTCAGTCGTATTTGCGAATCGAATCCAGAGTACGAGTGTCCCTTATGTCAAAAGAACCATTCAACATGTATTCACAGCACTGATTATAAGTATTTAGCTAGATAGCTGGATACAAGTTAAATGATATCGAAGATCACTGATTATTGGTACTTCTCACGCAAACTTGTGATGCAAATACCAATTGAGTTTTCTGACACTAACAAAAAAAACACAGTGTTCATCATGGGAAATCCTCTAGGACGAGGGCTGAACACCTGTCAGTGGTGCCCTCTACGAACCTGGGGGTGAAATATTCTTCAAGAGCCGAGATTCAGTCACGACAAAGGGTGAATTTGAGAGTTTTCGTCGAGTTGGCGATCGGGAGGAGTGGTGTTGGCTCATTTTTGGTCAAGAATCCGACTTGCAGAGATTTCACGACTGCACAACTCAACGAAATCGACAATCTACACCCCAGATACGAACCGCAGACAGCCTATAACCTGTCTGATGTTTGTATCACAATAACCGACACCTTCAAGATCTTATTTTCTTTTTCTCGGAAAATTCATTCCCGGCCAAATTCATCTCGTGACCCTCTCCACAATCATCTCACCACCTACCAAAGCAATCCCATACCTCCAAAAGCCAAATCGCCAACTAAGAAGTAAGAGGATGTCCGACACTCCGCAACTGCCAGTCACCGTGAAGGTACGGTCGAAAAACCGGCCTTAGATGCGTCGTCACCTCGGCCAAGGGCACCAACAACTCGACCTGCGACGAATCGCCACCGACGAAATACGTACGATATTTCGCCGGCACACCAACTAGAGCATTCAACAAAGACTGGGGCACCGGTGCCTCGGTCTTGAGCTCTCAGTCGCGTTTTCGACCTCCACGGTTAGGGGTACGGCAGCGACGGGGCAAGGCCGGAGGGGTGGACATTCGACAAAGTTTGTAGGATGACGAGGCTATCTAAAGGACAAAGGGATGCTGTATGAAGGAGGAAAAAAGGGAATATAAACTGAGGAGGCCTTGCTGGGCGTCTGGATAAGGCCTCCAATGAAGAAAGCGACCCCTCGACGAGATGAGGAGATGCCGAGATTGAGCCAAGGCTGGCATTGGATGGAAGGGAAAAGTCATAGATCGCGAAGGTTTCAAGGGCTCGGGCTCGGGCGCGTGGTGGCCGAGGCTGAGGAGGAATTTGCGCTTCGGCGCGTCAAAAGGGGGTTTCCTGGACGGTTGGGCTTGACATGATTCAACGCATGGGTGAAGTCTGAGGCGGGACGAGGTAGATGTACTTAATAGTAGTTAACCTGATCCGGCCCGGCCCCACCAGTGCTTAAGCTCCAGTAGGAGTGCAACGGGAATCACTATACCTAGCACGTTAATGAACAAAATAAAAAAAAGTATTAACGGAAAGTGACATACTTTTACATCGACAAGAAAGCGGGTAGACTTAAGATGAAATATAGAGAATCAACTATCCAAATTCAGCAAAAATTGGGTATTAATGCAACAGAATCATGAAGCAACTACATGGGGCTCAATGCCTACTTTTACCGAAGGAATGTACTAGAAGTAGGAAGACGACGTTGCCAATGTGGATATCCATCCCAAAACTTAAAGTACACCGTGATGTCTTGTACAAGATAGGCACAGGGAAGATGCGAGTTGACACAAAACCCAATAACTCGATCCTTCGAAGCTATGGTAAATAACGTTATAGATATGACATGAATTGCACAGTGTATTCAAAAGAAATGATAGCTATAGCAGTTTCGGATTACCGGAGAAATCGAGGGGTTAATCAGGCGAAGATAGAAAACTACTCTCAACTCCTGTTGATGTCCCCTACTAACCTCCTGTTCTCAATGTTGAGTCTGCAGAGCCGAGATTGAGTAACACCTTGGTCCTCAATTCCATTAGGATCCTCAATTGTTTTCGCGCTCTGTTTTATTACATCCCTAAGCACAAATCCCCTATCACCTCTATCATGAAGCTAACTTTCATCAGATAAGATGTCAGGGTCGAAGCTCTTCTCATTACCAATCCTTTATCATGGAGAAAAAGTCATGCGATGACTTTCCGGAGCGTACCCAGCACCAGATATGGCGATGGCGGATTGGATCGAATCGGTCTCGACTGTTACAAATGTAACGGCTAGTGAGCCGATAATTGTCCTGTATCACGTGATGTTAATCACGTGCCTCGACGATTCTGTGAAAGGCGGAACTTCACTCTAGTTTATTCTGGACATGACTAGAGGATTCTAGCAACTGGCATTGAGACTGTGAACTGGTATCAGGGAAACATAACAGAGGCTAGTATCAGATAGGAAGGAATATTCTAGATAGCCTAATAAGTGTATAAATAGTTGAGTTAGGACACACACATTGTGGTATAGAAAATAATAAACAACCCTTGTATATTTGATTGCCCCAGCATCTGTAACTCAAACTGTGACAACAAAGAAGGGAGATATAGATGAATATGCGCACTTCATGTGGTCCCGGTGTCTAGGCCTCACTTGCCCGGGGTAACAGGCTATTTGAGACTTTTTCCCGCGCAGGCAGTTTCCATTGCTACCATTTTTTTTGGGTAGAAGGTTCCATAGAAAAAGCGGTTGAATTCCATGGGTAAGTACTGATCTGAATGGATATGTATCACGGGCAACATATCAATGATCTTTGAAGTAATAAAAGAGGATAGGAGCACTGTACAAGGTGTGGCCTGGGCCAGGGAGGTAAATGTACCAGATAGTCTATGACTCAAGTAGTAAAGTAAACCAAACCGCACGCTGACTTGCGAATAGAAACTAATGTGAAATTAGAATTCTTAATATTTGGATTATCAGAAAATATGATTATTCTATGACACAGTCTGAAAACCTCACATATACCATTTAATGATGTCCTGAAATAGACGTAGCTGCTGGGCGAGCAAACCCTGTAATAACGAGGTTAGAACGGCCTGTAGTTAATGTTGGAAACAACGTTTCACAGCACTGATGTAAGATTCAAATAATTTCTTTAAAAAAATGCAGGGCGATATGCCCAAAGCCTATATCATAGATAGATAGCTGCTCGCGCAATTACAATCCAATATAAAAAAAGGTCTAGGGTCCTTGCTAGTTGCGAACTACATTTTTGCAATGAAAGAGCACGTAATCTCTATCAACCCCTAAGACATCTACATAGTTTATATAAACCATAACCCTTGAGCTTTTTTATAGGCACTATCGATTCCAAAACGAAGCCTTGATTAAGTTTCAATTTGCTTAGTAATGCCAAAAATACCAAATTTCCCTGTACACCATTGAATAAAGGTAATGAGAATACTTCTCACCTAGGTTTTTGGGTAGTGTTCCACACGGTTTCCTCCGTAGCTGGTAACTTTTTTAACGGCATTCTTATTATTGGGTTTTTCTCTAAGCAGAGGGCAGTAGCTTGGATAAATCATCTCGGCAGACCGTTTTTCCTGCTAGTTGTGAGGAACAGATGAGGTATTTAGTCCAAAGCATGGAGCTCGCGAAGAGAAGATTCGGCATAATCATCGCGCAAAAGAGCCTTTTGCCGAGTGTTGATGACAAAGATGGAGGAGGGTAGTAAATCCATCCCCAACATAGACATATTGAAGTATCGCCTTTAGGTGGGCAAGGTGGCGGATATAAACCGCAGTGCCGCCGTGGTCCGCCCGGGCAGTGACCAATGTACAGAGGAGTCGCTTAAGCAGCACCAGTTTGGGAGCTTTGTGGCGGTGCGTCAGTGGGTCGAATTCACAGGAGCTCCAGCATCAGCTGTCTGAAAAATAATCACCCATCGTCAATCTCTGGTGGAGTGGAAGGAAAATATTTTGCGGTCAATGTCAGGAAGCGTTTCTTGTTATAAATGTGTTTAAATTCATCACGATGGTGCGAATTGTTGCCCTGGACTTGATCTCAGACATTAGCGTGTCATATCATCTCCACTTTCTGGCCCGTGTTGCACTAGTCCGAAATGGTTGTAGGGGCACTATAATGATCCACTTCTGCTAACAAGCGACAGCGCAAGTCTTGGTTTCGAGGGATACGAATTACGCGAAAGTTGGACACACTTGTGACTCGACATCTAAGTCCTTTGAGAGAAAAAAACGGGTTGTGACTTGATTCCGTTGTAAGCAGCCATGTCGTCCTCCGTCACGAGTAATCAAGACCTCCCAGTTTCCCAATATAATCTAAATACTTACTGGGGACGGGTTCAACACTGTGCCGCAATCTCAGACCCTAGGTAGGAGTGCGCCTCAATTTTCCTGCACCACCTGTAGCCCAAGGGCTCGTTAGCGATCAGAAGGCTGATTACAAGCAGAACTCTTTTTGTCAGCAATGATGAGTTAGAAAGCGCCAAGAATCTGATCGCGGCATACAGGCAAGGCAGTATAAGAGATTTGGATGAAAGGGTGTGGAAGGCTAAAAAGATTGTTGACTCAACTTTGCACCCAGGTCATTTAAGCCCATCTACTGATACGTTTGTCCTAATGGTTATAGACACTGGGGCGCCAGTTTTTCTTCCTTTTCGAATGTCGTGCTACGTGATGTCAAATCTAGTGGTAACGGCTGGAATGCTAACACCAAACCTGAGCGTTGGTTTCCTTAGATCAACAAGCGCAATAGACTGACGTTATCGTAGAGAAAGGGAATTATTTTCTGGCAGATTGCTAACCAATCTCTTAATGTCGCCATCAACCATGCAAATGCCAATAAATCCACACCATTATCAGTTATCAAGACAACCCAATCATATTTTCTCGCAGTTGGCGCATCTTGCTCCGTAGCTCTAGGCCTAAATGCCCTTGTCCCGCGCCTCAAAAGACTTAGCCCATCTACAAGAACTGTCCTGACCAGACTAGCCCCATTTGTTGCAGTTGCCAGTGCTGGCGCATTAAACGTATTTCTTATGAGAAGTGAAGAGATTAGAAAAGGAATCGACGTTTATCCAGTCCCTTCTAAATCTGAAGAGGTAAGTGGTAAGTTAGACGGAAACCCTGGGTCACCTGTGGCGTCCCTCGGGAAAAGTAAGAAAGCGGGTATAATTGCCGTATCGGAAACAGCGCTCAGCAGAGTGTTGAACAGTTCACCTAACATGATTATCCCTCCCCTCATCCTTTTGAGACTTCAAAAACACAAATGGTTGAAGAAGAATCCAAGGCTTGTACTCCCAATTAACCTGGGCCTCGTTCTGGCGACTAGCATCTTTGCGCTGCCTTTGGCCCTAGCCGCATTCCCGCAAATACAAACTGTAGACGCTTCATTGTTGGAGAGTGAGTTTTGGAGGTCCGATGAAGACTTCCAGAAAATAAAATTTAATCGCGGAATTTGACAAGGTCATATTGGGATGTCGACTACTCATTAATCTCGGTTGAAATAGACGGTAATAATGTGCCTCGAGACCCACCAGGGAAGGCTCTTCTTAACAAATTTTCTTGACCAAACAGCGCTCCCAAATTGGCTATCTATTGTGGGTCCCCTAAGGGGAAGGTCTGGTGTGGTTACCTTTTCTCCTGTATAACTCAAGCATCTCATACGCCGGCTCAGTTGGCAATCCAGTGTAGCTGTGTTGTGCTAGGACGTCAACACGCAGCTTGAACATGCCTCGAAAGACTGGTCTAGAATGTGAAAAAGATCATTTGTTGTGAATCTAGCCAATACCCATGTTCTATGCTCCGGTTTTGAAACATTCAAGGAGCGACTCGTGTTTAAATTTTCTCAGATTCATGCCTTCGATAAATTTTCATAAAAACCAGTAGTAAATTGGCTGATTTCTTAGAACAGACAGAAAATATCGCCCAATATTCGCCTCGGGAAAGACTCGGGATTTCAGGGTGTCAAATGATGCAAATGGAAATCAGTACTCGTCCATTTCAAGATTACAGTACATAATGAAGTTCGAGCGGAACCAATCATCGTTCACAAGAGGCGGTTTATTCACATAAGTCGTTAGATATGAATTTGTGTCTGCCGGCTCGGACAGTATATTACAATTCTCATCCGGTCCAGCGATCTAAAGAGTGTGAATACGGGGCACTAAGAAGGGGCGGGGTAGAGGGGCTGAAGTTGAAAAAACACAATGCCATAAGCAAGTGGGTCCTACTTAGCCTTTTATGGAAAAAGCCGCAAATCACGCACGGGAATCTTGACCACCCAGTCTAACCGGACCAAATGCGACATGACTGCCTAATTTCCAGCAGAATCTGACCATCTGATGACCAGCGAAGAGATGATTCAAGCTGGACTCCAGCTGAAACCCCTACTCGAAACTAGCCCTGATTCTCCTGCCTCAGGCGATGTTTTGTAAAAGTCTCGGCGGCTTTGCCAGCGCACGTTTGGTCTAGAGGCCTTTGAAACACACCAGTCCATTCATGTTGGAACGGTTGATGCCGTTAGTAGCTGCCCTGAGTTGTTCGCGTAAGTCTTGAAAGGGGGGAGGGATTCCGAATTCTCGAGACGGCTACATTTCCAAGCAGATAGTAACAAAGGATTCTTTTAACGACTACGTAAAATCTATTTTTATTACTTACCGACACACCATTATTGGAATTAATTACATTTCAATTTATGACCAAATATATGTTGTGTGAAACTAGCTATTTTATTCATATCATTCGTGAGGTCTCCGTTTATCTGCCTACCTGGCCATTCGACCGTCTACTCAAGACAGCACGCATGGACCGGAGGATCTACAAGGCCTCGTGAGGGAAGACATACCAGTGATGACCCAAAGTTGGATAGAGCTTAAGGGTATGCGTAGTATGAGAATACGACTACCCCGCCGTTTCTCAGGACAGAAAGTAGTAGAATTAGAAAATCCTGGAGTAGGATTAGTTCATGGATAAGTATAGTATCAGGAATATTACAGAAACACATATGTCATCTCCATCTTAAACATAATATAATAGTAAAATGGAACCAAATTGAGATGAGTAATTGAACGTTCTAATTATTCCCCAGCTCCAATTATGGTCACTGCTTTGCTGCTCACCTAACCGCACAACCTAACGATACTTGAAGCTAGCTAGCAAGCGAGGTCAAAGGTCATCAACGCCGACCCATTAGACACGGCCATTTCAAATTTAGACCCCTACGCCAACGTGGTAGATAATTCCTTTCAATGTTCCATATCGCAGTTGGCTTCTCCCACTTGACCACTCATAACGAAAAACTAGAATGCTTCAAATCTAGCCCATCTCAACTTCAGTCTTCGCTCAATCTATATACGACTTTGGCTTCTCATCAGCCACGCCTCGACGACCTGTCTTAATACTGCCCATCGCACGAAATAACTATGATCTAGCATACAAGTAACGCCCACTCTTGTAACTGCGAGCAAAGGTTCTGCATTGCAATAATTTTTCGTTACCATTATTCTTCCCTTGGCTACTGATCGTCATGAGTTCTTGTGCACCCTCAACTCTGCCTCCACAGTATCCAAATTACGGTTACTCTCATCATCAGACTTATAACTCCTCTGGAAATAGCTACAGAACAAGCAGTGGTTTTTTGACTGGTAATAACCGGATAGGAGTATCGCACAACTATTTATCATCTCGAAAAACAGCAGTGTCTGACAGCTTACAGCCGAGTACGGACTGTCTAGAGACATACACTCCTCACACAGCAGCTTCACAAAATCAATCTGTTGTCCCTTCCACCATGTCAAATATAAAGAAACGGCAGAGATCCCGGGAAGTTCGAGAACCCGATTGGCATAAATTCTATCAAAATGGCCTACCCAAAGAAGTTATCGTTATTGATGACACACCTACACCTGAACCTCATACTGCAACATCGTCTCGAATTCAGCCGGTCGTATCTGCGACAGAGGCCGATGGTAGGCACGCTGCAAAGAAAAGGCGGCGGGACAACATGCAACCGATATACGATCCTGTATATCATCTAGGATCTCCTCACAAAATCTCAAACTATAAAGACTCATCCGGCTCTACAGTATCGACGGATAAAACAGCATCCTCCGCTCATTTCACGGCAACCACTTCACTCCGCTCCCTATCTTCGCTCGGGCAGATAAGCTATTCAGTATCCGATGTCCACCTAGGTCAGAAAAGAAAGAGGACTGCTACTCGCTTACAGATTGCAAATGAAGCCAAACTCAGAGAGCTGGAAGTTAACGGAGATGCTTTCTCAAGCTACAAACCGCCTCCTAAACCCCCCATAAAGGCACCCGATGTTCAAATCAAACAGGTGCTTGATGTAAGTACTCAACTTCACCTAGTGGGTTACTTACTCACATGAAAAATAGAGCACTTTCAATAAGACTGGACAGGTTGATGACAAAGATGGACACTACATCGTCATACCCGAGTCTGATCTTACTGAACGTTGTAAGTTTTCATATACAGCCATCCGTGTTTTACATTAACACTTATACAGACCAAGTTACCAAACTTCTTGGCCAAGGAACATTTGGAAAAGTAGTCCAAGCTCGAGACCGCCGTCGAAATAAACAAGTGGCAATAAAGATCATTCGGTCTGTTCAGAAATACCGAGATGCATCTCGAATAGAGCTACGAGTCCTCTCGACGTTAAAAGCAAACGACAATGAAAACAGAAACAGATGCATACATCTTCGTGACTGTTTCGACTATCGAGGACATATCTGCATAGTTATGGACCTGCTTGGCCAGAGCGTGTTTGATTTTCTGAAGGGAAATTCTTTTGTACCGTTCCCTAATAGTCAAATCCAAAGTTTTGCCCGTCAACTCTTTACCAGTGTTGCTTGTTGGTTTCCCCGAGCCCTACTAACCTGATATGACTGACATGATACGCAGTTCTCCACGATTTAAACTTAATTCATACCGACCTGAAGCCTGAAAATATACTTCTCTGCGACAGCTCATACCAAGCGTTTACCTACAGTCGTAGGATTCCCTCATCCTCGTCAAGCGTCAATCGACAGGCGGCCCAGAGAAAGGTTCTCTTGGATACAGAGATACGTCTTATAGACTTTGGCTCGGCAACATTTCAAGATGAGTATCATTCCTCCGTTGTATCTACACGGCACTATAGAGCCCCCGAAATTATACTAGGGCTTGGCTGGTCGTTCCCTTGTGATATTTGGAGTATAGGATGTATACTTGTGGAATTTTTCACTGGTGACGCTTTGTTCCAAACTCATGACAATCTTGAACACTTAGCTATGATGGAAAATGTTTGTGCTACAAGAATGGATGTGAATTTGATCCATCAAGTTAATTCAATGTCAAAAAAAAACTGTGGAAACCCTGCTTCTAAGTATAATATCAAGTCAACTACCGCTGAAGATCCATGCTAATCATACCAGATTTTTCAAAAGATTAAAGCTTGACTACCCACAGCCAGAAACTAGTCGAGCTTCTAGGCGATTTGTCAAAGCTATGAAAAGACTTGAAGTGTGTATATACAGGCAGTCTTTATTTTACCTTGAGCGCTAACTTTATTAGGACATTATTCCAGAAAATACTAGATTCTGTAAAAATTTCTTAGACTTGTTGAAAAAAATATTTGTCTATGATCCAGCGAAGAGAATTACCGCAAAAGAAGCCCTTCAGCATGAGTGGTTCAAAGATGCTGCTGCTCCAGATGACGGGACAGAAGCTTCTAAAATACGTCTCCAAAAACAGCAGGCAGCTAATGCTTCAGGAAATTTCTCCCAGATGAACACAACATCTAGACACAATGAAATTTCAAAATAAGCCTCAGTAATGCATTAAAATGACGGCGTATGGGGCTAAAGGGGGCGTAAGGCACTGTCGGAAAACCGGTGCGATAGATGTGGGCGGATTTGACTGGTTGTGTGCTCATCCATGCCTCTAATATTTGACAGTTTTGATGTGCTTTCTATCCAAGAATGATAAGGAATCACGTAATGGCATTGATAACTGAATAGATATGATCATTTGATGAAATAAATAACTGTAGCCGAAGAGACAGACGACAAACGTAGGAGTTCTTGTATAGGATTGTTGTAGCCTTGTATGTGAGGCTTACACAGTTGCAAAGCTAGTCTAAGACTGGGATTGTATTGAAATCTAGAAAATCCAAACGTCACTTTTTAAACCACATGAAGAGACATACATGCTTCCGATACAAGAGGTCTTCATTATTATCCCTCAATCGGCGATGCAATAATTTTGATACCCGATTCTCGCACACAAACACTTTTCTAAAGCAGCCTTGGCGTTGTATTAGGTTTTTCTGCGCCAATCCCCCCCAATTGCACGAATGGAATAAAGATCATATTTTCAAAAGCAAATTAGTAGAGAGAATCCTTCGAGACTCCATCAAACTTCCGTCTGTCAATCACTGCTTCAATAGAATGAAGTGTTGGGCCCAGATCATCACAACGCCTACGGCAGACACGCCTGGAACAACAATTCTTCTACACTTCGACAACAAGAGATACCTATTCGGAAATGTAGCAGAAGGTACACAGCGTGCGGCTGTTCAGAGGAAACTCGGACTCATTAAAGTTGGTGATATATTCCTAACAGGCAGGTTAGGGTGGGATAATGCGGGAGGTTTGTTAGGCATGATACTTACACTCGCAGATATCAGATCCTCCTCTCGGGAGGAAAAGAAAGGTCATGGTCAGGACAAAATAGATCTTGTAGACAAGGATATGAGCCTCTCGGTTCATGGAGGTCGAAATTTAACTCACCTTCTGGCTACGTCCAGGCGGTTTATATTTCGGAAAGGAATGCCTATTGTAACAAATGAATACACTCTGATGAAAGAAAAATTACAGAAATCTTGGGAACCTACTTGGAGAGATGAGAACATCAAAGTCTGGGCTATGGCCATAGAGTCCGACGTTACTGTCAGAAAGAGAAGTCATGCCGAGTTTAGCGATCACATCCAAGATCAAAAATCTCAGTGCGAGCTCGATGAGCACGATACAATAAGGAAGTCTGTGGTGTCTTCAATGTTCGATTCAAGCTGGCGTCTCGATACCCTTATAAAAAAAAAGCTTTCCGAAGTTCAGTTACCAGCCGCTATCTTTCACCGAGGCGAAAATGGCCGAATCCAGAAGTACGAAGGGCCAACTGTTGAGGAGGACGCGTCTGTAGCTGACCTTGAGGTTCTTGTACGTAATCCATGGCCCGGTGCGCTTACCGAGCATCTTCCTTCCACGACCCCCTCAAATACATCAATTTGCTACATTGTCAAGAATTATGATCAAAGAGGAAGATTTGACCCTAAAAAAGCTAAAGACCTTGGTATAACCCCAGGTCCAGATTTCCGTCGTCTCACACAAGGTGAGAGCATAACAACGACAGCTGGTAGAATAGTCTCTCCCGATATGGTCCTCGGAAAAGGCAAAAATGGAAGTGGCTTCGCGGTTATAGAATTACCACGTGTGGCGTATTTGGAATCTTTACTTGCACGGAAAGAGTTCTCATCTAGTGAAGTTATGCTTGGTGTCGGTGTAATATTCTGGATTCTAGGGCCTGAAGTCGTCCATGACACCAGATTACAGAAGTTTATGAAAGACCGTAGTGAAATGAAGCATATTATTTCCTCATCAGATTACTGTCCAAACTATCTAGCTCTAGAGTCAGCAGCGATGGCAGCTATTCGCCTAAATCTATTGGATCCAAACCATTTTCCACTTCCAGACTACAGCAATCAGGTGGATCCCATTATTCAGGGGCTCGAACAAATAGAAAGGGCCCAATGCGGTATGGTTGTTCAACTAGAGCCATTACTCGAAGTTCAACGTGACTCAATTATTCCATTGTTAAAAAGTGCTATTGTGGTACAAGGTGCGCCAAAAAATGTATTGGAATTAGCCGAAGTAGCCCGTAGCTCCATGGATGACGTCGAGTATCTTGCTACTCTAGAAAGGAATCAAGCTGATATTCCATGCAAGGATGCTGAGGTAACAACATTGGGTACTGGCTCATCACTCCCATCAAAATATCGAAATGTCTCGGCGACATTAATTAGAGTCCCAGGGTATGGTAACTATCTATTAGATTGCGGAGAAAATACCCTTGGACAGCTTAAGAGGGTCTTCGGGAAAGATCTACCGGATGTTTTGCGGAATTTAAAGACCATTTGGATAAGTCATCTTCACGCTGATCACCATCTTGGCACCGTAAATGTTATTAAGGCATGGCATGAGGCGACAAGAGATCAAGGTGCCGTGAACTACCAAAAATTGATAGTAGCCTCTGATCGAGGCATGACCAACTGGTTGCGAGAATACGCAGAAGTTGAGGACTATGGATATAACCGTGTCGAACCTGTAACCCTAGGCAGTAGAACGACTTTTAGCTTTAAACCAAGTCAAGAGCTTGTTTCCCATACAGGATTTAATTATATCGAAGCTTGCCAGGTTGAGCACTGCGCTGGTGCTCTGGCAGTCGTTTTTGGATTTCCGAACGGCTTCAAGTTTGCATACTCTGGGGACTGTCGGCCTTCGGAAAGATTTGTGAGGATTGGACAAGGTGCTACACTTCTTATTCATGAGGCTACATTTGACGATGAGCTCCGGGGCGACGCAGTTGCAAAGAAACATTCGACTACTTCGGAAGCGCTGGATATTGGTAAAAGGATGAACGCTCGCCGAATCTTACTAACTCATTTCTCTCAAAGATACCAAAAGATTCCAATAATGAACTGCAAAGACGGAAAATCTCAAGTGGCTATTGTAGCTTTTGACTATATGAAGATACGGATTGAAGACTTTGTTAAGATGGAGGCTCTCAAACCTGCCCTCATGAAACTTTATGAAGGTAAAGAGGAATGAAAAGGGCTGGCCTGAAACAAGGGCTCGAATTTTTAACTCTCCTATCTATCTTCGATTGTGTGAAGCCACTAAGAAACAGAAGTATCGTTCAGGTATTATTCCGATAATTTTCTATATTGAATAATACTGCAAATTTACCCATCGAAGCTAGGTTCAGTCACGGGCAGTCGTTCCATGAAATCCCAGCCGTTAAAGTACGGATTACTAGGCTATAATCATAGCCTTTTATCCAACATCATGCCAGTTTAGTGACAGATACTAAAAATTTAAATGGCTGTTTTATTAATGTTGGTTTTAATTCAGTGGGTGAAATCTTGAATTAGATAGAATATATGTAGCCTCAGCATCTGTTACTAGAACTGGCGTTATGAATTATTAATGGTGTAAATGAGAAGACTGGACTCTTGTTCGGTAGAGTATCTAGTGAAACCCATCTTTGCAAACCACAGCTACCCTTTTCCCTATGCTGTCGCTTTTGCATGTTCATTATTAAGCACCTACATCAGGAATACCTGCAATGCTTTAAGATTTAATTCTGCCATAGATCTCAGGGTCGATGCAGCCTGACTAACACTTCCGTCTCTTTTTATAATAATTTACTGTATATACAGCTATTTGGCTGTAATACATGACCAGTGCTACCATTCCTAACAATTTTCGAATGATCCCATTTCCCCCCTCCCCACCCTCTCGCGCTTGTCGCACACATTCAGAAAATTGAGAACGACCTACCGACATTCTTACCATGCTATCTGTTCAGAAGAAGCGTCCCAACACCATGTTAGACAACACGAGAGTCCGCCCGCGGACTCGCGATCAAACAGCCGGCCTTGCCCAGTCTCCAAAATGCGTGGAGATGAGCAAGGCCTCAACTAAAGGGAAGAGAAAAACCCTCCCCGCCGTCACTGAGCCTGATACTAACATGATCAAGTCAGGTGAAATTTTGCGGAAATTCATCAACCAGCCTCCATCCCCCTTGGGATTGGGGAATCATCCAAACCTCCTCTGACCACGTCAAAACCGCCGGAAAACACTGCACCTAAAGCAGCGTCAAAATCAATGTGGCTGCCAAAAGCTGCCACCAAAGCAGAGTGCCCTCTGGAACTTCGACCAATTGTCGAAGCCGAACAACGACGGTCGCCGAAATAACAGCAAACCTGGCACTCTGTTCCGCCGCCATTAAAGGCGTCAAAATATCTCTCCTCCCTTTGAGCAACGGGTCAAATAGATAATTCGGAGACTCGATGAGGGTCTGCCTCTGCGCCGCCATTGCGCAACAAATGGCCGCGGACCCGGCCTCCACGCCACCCGTCCTCCCTCCTCGCCTGGCGGACACTCCTCCGAGAGCTCCCGAAACTTGAAGCCACAAAATAACCGCCGTCCCAGTGCTGCCTTTAAAAAGCACCTGGGCCGCGGTGGCCAGAATCGGACCGCGTCAAAATGCGGTCCCAACTGTAAATGCTGTGCCGCAACCTGCGGTCACAGCCTCGAAAAAAGACGCACGGAAGGGGAAAGTTGGCAAACGACTATTCGTCCGTCTCGGCAGCGACCACCCCTGATGCAAGCTCTCACCTAGCTGCCCATAGGTCAAAGTACAGTTTGAGCTGAAGTAAATCACGAGTGACATCAGCTCCTTTCACCGAGTCAGAACCGACTTTGCGAAGGATGCCTCGATGGCCAAGGCAACAGATTTTGGAGTACTGGGATCTGAAGAAGAAGCTTGAGGATTCAGCGACTTCGAAGATATCTCTTTTGGGGCATTTACTAACAAATAGCAGGATACCGACTGTATCAAAGATACCTGCTAGTCCATCTCTTGCTCCCAGCGAAGATTGAGTAAATTTATTATTTGGAAGTTGTGACGGGCGAGGGAATGTGTGAGGAGCATATTGCTTGGGTTCAACATAGAGGAATTTTCTGTCTTTCGGAGTTATTTTTTATTTTTTATTTTTGTGATTTTGTGATTTTTCGTTTCTGTTTTAATTGGCTGCACCATTGGCAGCGATTCACGAGGTTGGAACGAGTTTAGGCTGTAGGGAATATTACAGGAAACCCTGCGGGCTCTACTGGTCCTATACCCATAGTTGACATAGAGCTATAGCCTAGGACCTATTGATTTTTTAAAAAAAACGCATAGTAAACTATCAGAATACAGTGGGGAACGAGCGGGGCGTGTAGCTGCCCGTATTGTGACCAAAAAATGCGAGCTTGCATTCTAGATGGGTCCTTGAAACTCGGCGTCTTACTTACCGTGAGACGGTTATTAGGGGGGCTATTCTCAACACCTGTCAGCGGTGTCCCCTACGAACCTCCAGCTCTTACTGTAGAGTCTGCAGAGCCGAGATTGAGTAACAAAGTCCTCACTTCGACGAGGATTCCCAATTGCTTTCGCGGTCTGTATCGTCTTCATCTCTCAACACATTCCCCTATCACCATTATCATGAAGCTAACCACCATCAGATCAGATGGTAGGGTCGGAGCCCTACTCGTCACCCACCCCTGATCACGGAGGAAAAGCCATCCGATGAGTTTGCGGAGCGTACCCAGCACCCGATACGGAGATGGTGGATTGGATCAAGTCGGCCTCGACTGTTACAAAGAAGGGAGATACAGATGAATATGCGCACCTCATGTGGTCCCGGTGTCTAGGCCTCGCCTGGCTGGGGCAGCAGGTTTTTTGAGACTTTTTCCCGCGCGCGCAGTTTCCATTGCTACCATTTTTATTTTTTTTGGGTAGAAGGTTCCGTGGAAAAGGTGGCTGAATTCCACGGGTAAATACTAAGCTAAATGACTATTCATCAAGGGGAATATATCTATGATCTTTCAAGTAACAAAAGAGGATAGGAGCACTGTACAAGGTGTGGCCTGGGTCAGAGAGGAGCCCAATATGCTAGATAGTCATAGACTCAAGTAGTACAATAAAACACACACACACATACCGTGAGGCTTGTCGTTTTCCTCGGGCTCGGAGTTCAGGATCCTCATGAGTATAACTCACGAACTTCACCTCTCTTAAAGCTAAAGCCACCTCTTCCCATACCTCCATCCTAACGGTACGTCATTTCCGTACAGCATAGCCTTTCAGTACTTTCTGTTGTGATCTAACGCTGTTCAATCTGCGGACTTTGTGGTGAGCAGTTATTACATCTCACGTGATGGAACACAGGAGCGAAGTAAAAGAGGGGACTGCCCACTAGCCAAATCCAAACGGTTACGGGCACATGTAGAACTGTAGCACATTTTCTGTAGATAGACATAACAAGCAATTATCTTCAATAATTAAATCAACCTCCACACAATTGAGACCCATAGAAGTGCCAAACTTTCATACAACCCTCAATCGTATTGTCGCAATCGCATCTGTAACGAGCCACCACTGCATTCTAGAATACACTCTCTAACTGTGATAAGCTACACCGCCAGGTCTAGCAAACAAATTACAATACTTTCCACATAAGTATTAAATTGTCATCCACGGAGTGTAGCATGCAGAGCCAAGGAAATGGAACCAGATTAGTGATAAATTATATACCCCCAATCGCTATATTCACCTATAGACCACTCGTAAAGGAGGCCAGCTACGGAGCTATCTGGAGGTATTTGGGATCGCTTAATTATCATTTAAATAAAATCCGTAACAAGACATCACAAAAATAAGATAGCATCTAACATCCCAAACACATTATCGCCATAACCACCCAAGTATACTCTAAGCTCCACGAGTAGTCATAACCATTCAATTAAAGATACTAAATGCATAAAACCATGTACACCACCACCCTTCAATACAAATATCCTTTGGGATACTCTTCTGTCAAGGTATAGTGCCACTAACGATATGCTTGAATGGGAGAGAGAGTGTAGGAGGAATCGATTCCCTGGGATACAAAGCTATCCCTCGAAGATGTTACAGTCGCCACGATCGGGTCACGGAATACGGCCCCAGGAGTCGATGAGGTAACAGTTCGACTACTTAAAGCTTGCTGGGAAAACATAGGGCACCACGTTAGAGAGACCTTTCAACTCTGTCTAGATTTTGGATGCTTTCCACTCGTCTCCAGGATAGCAGAAGTTGTTTTTCTCCCGAAACCGGGGCGGGACCTTTTGACCGCCAAAGGCTGGCGTCCACTTCCCTACTGTCAAGCTTCGGCAAGGGGTTGGAGCGCATAGTCACCAAGAGAATGGCCGAGCAAGCGGTAAAAAATAATGTTATATCGCCATAAATATTCGGTGGTCTCCTAGGACGTTCTGCGTTCGACCTTTTATCTTGCGTTGTTCAAGATGCAGAAGCAACGATGAGAAATGGCAAATTTCTAGCCATGGTAAATTTGGATGTTCGACTTACTTTTGATGCAGTCCTTCACAATAGCTTGCTTAAGCGATTGAGAGAGCAAGGCTGGCCAATTTCACTTTGCCGCTGGATTCACTCCTTTCTGACTCGAAAAAAAGTCTGCGTTAGATTCAGTGATTGTTATGGTCTCAGCACAAAATGTATGAGCAGTATTGTAGGTACAGTACAGTACATTAAATATAATTATCTGGGCATAGAATTTCTACAGCAAGACTACAAATATATATAAAATCTAAGATACTCCCTTAAATTAGGTTCCTCTTATGACCAGAATGGTTTAGACTTTTCGACAACTCTCTAGAAGATTTTCAGTACACGTTTCATTCTCACGAATCTTCAGTATGTCTCCAGAAGTTTCATTGAGGATCTTCTAAGCTCCGTGTTTTACAAGATTCTTCCCGAAGATTTATTGTGATTATGAGAAGGGGAATTGCATACAAACAGTGGCTTTATCAATATGTGCTTGACACCATTATGAAGTGGACGATGATATGTGTTCACTTTATTAGATTTGTTTCCTGATGATTACTATCTATATGAAGGAGAATAACCCTATTCATACCTAAAGCTCATCTGTCTAATTGCTACTAGAATATTCCATCTTGTGGTGTAAGATATTCTATCATATGCTATAGAATAGTTTGCATTA